CAGAGTTAGGCTTAGAATAAACACACATCCGCCTGTCTCTACTCACGTATGCGGCAGGCTAGGGGGCCCTTGGGGCTCTCCAGGAGGAGGAGCTGCCAGTACTGAGCGAGATCCTGGGAAGGCTGGGAGGGACCCATGAGTGGGCAGCCGGAGGGAGGTACCAGGGTCAAAACCTAAGGAAGACAAAAGAATGCAGAGTGTATAGGGATCAGAAGTCACAGATCTGTATTCCCTCTCCTCACCTGTGTCCCTTTCCTCTTTCCTTGCTGATATATTGGAAAACGGCACTGAATGAATGTTGAATTCTTTTCCTACCAGGGAAGGGATGCAGAGGGACAGCAGGTTCTTGGCAGAGGAAGCGACACACCACTGGTGGTGGCATGGCGAGGCCTGGAGGCAGCCAGTGTCCACGGCCCCAAGGGCCGGGAGGCATTGGAGTCCAAGGCAAAGGCAAGGCTTCTGGGGGACGGCTAAGCAGCAGAGGCCCACAGGAGTTCTCCTGTAAGAGTAGAGGGCATAAGTCACTTAGGTACGAAGCTGGAGAAGGAAGAGATGTGTTCTAGGGTGGAATAGGGCCCCAAAACTATGGGTGGGCCCTAAAACCCTACCCTCTTATTTCTCCCACAGAAGTGACTTTGCCTATGATTATACAGTGAGTGGGGGATGGGATCAGAATCCAGATATCGAGAGCACTGAGGAAGGGATCTGGGTAGGTGAAAACCACCCCCCTCAGGGCATAGGATCTCCTTACCTTCCCAGGGGGTGTCAGTGCCAGTGGGATTGCCCTATGTAGATTCTGAGGCAAGGGTGCTATGTTCTCCTTTCCAGCTGTGAGGGAGGAGGGAAAGCCCTAGTGAGGTCTTTCTTCTGGACTCCTTTCCTTTTCAAACCCCATCTGAGTTTTTATCTCTCTCTGACCATTTTCTTTTCTCTTTTATTTATTTATTTATTTATTTATTTATTTATTTATTTTTGAGACAGGGTCTTACTATGTAGCTCAGGCTGGCCTTGAACTCATCGTGATCCTCCTGACTTAGCCTTTGGAGTGCTGGGATTACAAGGGTGTGCTACCACTCCCGACTCTCTCTGACCATTTTCTACCCGAAGATTTCACTGCACTTGATCATTTTTTTATAGCTGGGAGGCTGAAACCCAGAGAGTAGAAACATCTTGCCCAAGGTAACATGCCCATTAAGTGGAAGGGCTGGAACTCTTTTCCCTGTTTATGCTTTCTACACCCAAATTCCTGCCCCATCTGCAGCCAGAGACACTCACAGAGGACTCCTGGTTGAGTAGCTTCTTTCTTAACATGGATGGGTGCTTTGAGAGGGGTTGCCCCTCTCCTCACCAGTCCCTGAGCTAGGTGCCTCTTTAGCTGGGCCTCCTGCTGCCTGCGCAAGGCCACCTGGGCAGCCATGACCCTCCGACGTTCCCTAAAAGAGGGAATGGGTTCCGAGTCAAAAGCCAGCCGCCCTTTAGAGGGAGCCCATCCGCCTCCCCTCCTTAGACCTCATACTCACAGGATGAGGACACATTTGTGACACTCGCAAGCCTGAAAGAGGCAGAGGCGCTTATGTCCCTTGAGATGGGCTGTGATGCCATGATTACGGCAGCGAGCACAAGTTGGAGAGCGACTGACAGCTCTTCTGGGGATAAGCTCTGTGCCCTGGATGGCTCTGGTCTCGACTCCTGAGGCAGAGTCCGCAGTGCAGTGGTGGGCAGCAGGCGTCTCACTGGGTTCCATGGATCTAGGGGCAAGTGACAGGTTAGAATGACTATGTAGGACCTCCTCTTAACCAACTCTACTGCTTTGGGGCGGCCACGTCTGTGTTTCTCCATCCTGCCCTCCTCTAGAGCCTGCTTTCATTCTGGTTTCTCCTTTCTTCACCCCACAGCCTTTCTCATTGATCCTCCTTCCTAAGAAATCTTTCTGCTCTTTCCTTTGCTAGGTGTTCTTCCAAAACAAATCGCATCTTCCTTCGCTCACGGGCACACCTGCCCATGACGAATCCCAGTTTGGGGCATCCACATGTCCTCCCAAGGCTCCTCTTGATGCCCACACTCCTTTCCCACAAACACTCCGTTCTGCCCAAGTTTTCCCTGGCATCCTTTTCAACAACTGTCATCCTACCCTTTTGTATTTATCCATTCCTACTCATACACGCACGTTATCTATCCTCTCTCCGTCTCTGCCTCTGTCTGTCTGTCTGTCTGTCTCATCTCCGCAGGCACCCTGTCCCTGAGCTACATCCCCAGGCCCTTTTCTTTCTGAGACGGTCTCACTAAATTGCCCAGGTGGTACTCACACTTGCAACCTGTACAGACAGACATGTGCCACCAAGACGCCCGGCTCCAGAAACTACTTTTATGACCCCATCAGTTCTTCGCCCCACATAGGCCCTGCAGCTCAATCCGCCCCTTGCTTTCCCTCCGTCTGATTCCGTTCTTATACCCTCAGTAATCACCGTATTCCCAGGGATTCCCTCCCCACTTTCAGCAGTTATTTTCATTCACGCCTCTCCATTCTATAAATGTTTACTGAGTCCCTGCCACGCGCCAGGCCCCGTTCAAGGGCAAGGCCTCTCCTCAGGGTGCCAGTTTTCCCTTGCATGCGCTTGTACCCAGCGCTTACGAGCCTGTACCCGCTTCCAGCAATTAATCCCCCGGCCCCCGCCCCGCGTAGCCATTACTGCGTGCGCCTTCCGGGCAGCCGCCCCCACAAACGCCTGCCTGGGGCTCCACCGCGCTCCAGGGCCTCCGGGAGGGGGCAGGGCACGAGGAACGCGCTGCGCCCGGGGCCGCGGGTGGGGGAACGGAGAGGGCTGCGAGGGGCGCGAGGTGGCCAAGAGGGTGCTTGGGGGCTGGGTGGGGATCCCGCGCAACGGAGAAGGAGCAGTAGGAAGAGGGCGGGGAGGGCTCGTGTTCATGCCGCCACTCCGTGGTTACCACAGCCTCGAGCGGAGTCACGCAGTGGAGAAGAGGCCAAAGGCTGGCGAGAGAAAGTGGTGAGAGGAACGGTCACGCTCGCGCTAGTTTTTCCTCGCCATCCTACAAGGACCAATGAGCTTCGAGCACCAGCCACGCGGGCAACCAATGCGGTTTGCGATGGTGTGTTGACGGCCCGCCCCTTCCTCCCTTTGGACTTTTCCAGGAGGCAGAGTATCAGGCCAGCCAATAGCGCCTCGAGTTGAGTCTCGTGCCCATTACCCTCCCCCTACTGTGGCCGGCATTTCCAGAGTATTCCTTTTCAGGGGAGATGACCAATGAGGCGTCGAGTACAGTCTCCGGGACCGAGGCCGGCCCTGCCCCCCAGGAACAGCAGGTTCAGCCTCGTGAGCGTGAGTGGTGCCCGGATAGTCTGCGCATGCGCTTTTCTCTCTCCTGCGCTTTTCCCGCAGGACTGCACGGGCTGGCTTGTCCTCGCTGCGTGGATGCGTGGATGCTCGTGTTCTCTCCCGCTACCTCTCGGTTCTCTAATTTGCGTTCTCCTCCCTGTGATTTCCTTGTTTCGTTTCGTTTTGTTTTGTTTTGGTACTGGGAATCAAACTCAGGACCTTGAGCTTGCCGGGCAGGCTCTTGTGCCGCTAAGCTCTTCTCGGATCTCACTGTCTCAAGTTGCACCCGTTTTCTTTTGTCTCTTTCTGTTTGTGTCCAACTGTTTCTACTTGTCTATTTTGCTCCTTTTCGGACCGTGTCCTCCCGGTGCTCCATTCCCTCCAAAACCTGGCTTGTTTGTCGTTTTTTTTTTTTTTGTCTTTGTGGCCCTCCACACCTTCTGTGTGCCTCCCCTTCACGGATTTCATTCTTCTCAGGTCGCCCCTGTGCTCTGTATGTCCCTAAAGACTCCCCTCTTGTCTTCCCTTCCCACCCTTGCCGTGACAGCCACAGATTTCGGAGTTAAGAGACCCGTTTGTCTGTGCCATTCCAGCTGGAAAAGGTGGCAGAAGTGACCTCCAGCTGGACTGCTGTGCAGGAGAGCTGTTAGATAACGTTGGAAACGTTGTTTGGAGCCAGTGTGAGGGTGTGGTGAGGTGGATGGCTGGGGGTTTAAATGCCAGTTTAAGAGATTGAATATGATCTTTTAAATAGGGAGGGAGGAGGGACAGAGGAAATAACGTTTATAGAGATTAGCGTTTGGGGGCTGGGGATTTAGCTCAGCGGCACAGCGCCTGCTTGGCAAGAGTGACGTCATGAGTTCGATTCCCGGTACGGGGAAAAAAGCAAAAACAAAAACAAAACAAACACACAAAAAAGAGATTAGCATTTGCCTGGCACTTCATATTAATAATCACTTACTCTTCACAATGACCCTATGAGATGTATTGGTACACTTTATTTTTTTAACTGCTCCAGGGTTTCTTTTATTAGCACACGATTGCAGTACATAATGTTTACATTGCTTGAGTGGAGTTGGTACATATACATAACACATCTTAATTCCTGTTTTCATCCCCTTTCCCCTCCCTCCCTCCATCTCTCTTTCTCTCTCTCTCTCTTTTTTTTTTTTTTTGTATTGGAAATTGAACTCAGGACTTGCGCTTGCCGAGCTACATCCCCAGCTCTCTTTCCATCTGGAGTCCCTGTTTGAGAAGTACATTAATGAGAAAGCAGGCTCCGAGTTCAATAAATTGCACACAATTGTGTGGCCAGTAGGTGGAGGGATAAAGATTACAAATTTGCTCTTTGACTGCAAGGCCTTTGAACTCTGTATCCCTTCCTACATTGTTCTGGTTATTTTCACTAATACTTACTCCTTGGTAAGGAGTAAGTATTTCCATAGGGAGTCATTCTGTGTGTCTTCGGTTCGTGTGTGTTCTTCCAAGATTTTAAAATTAGTACTTTTGTGGTACTAGGGATTGAACCCAGGGCCTCATGCATATTAGGTAAGTGCTCTACCCCGGAGCTGTACTGCTAGCCTTTTATCTTCTATTTTGAGATGGGGTCTTGGTAAATTGCCCACACTGGCTTCAAACTTTCAATCCTCCTGCATCAGTCTCCCTTGCAGGTGGGATTATGTGTGTGTCACCACACCTGGTTATACATGAGATTCTAATTTATAGAAGTGATATTATGTTATTTACTATTTAAAATAATCAGCACTGTACTTTTATGATCTGTCCAGGTACACATGTGTACATCAAACTGGTTGCTTTTACCTGCTGTGTGATATTCTGTGGTGGGCATCCCCTGCATGTTATGCATTCACTTGGTTTCAGGAAGTAGTGATCTGTTGCCTTAACTCACGGTCACGTTAATACTGCAAGCCTCAGAGAGCTGATGTGGAAATTTTCATTATGTGTGCCTAGGATACACCATACATATATGGGTGTTTATAAGCCTAGTTTGACTAAATATTGTCAGACGTCACCTTATAATGCAATGTTGGGCCTGAGATAAGACTTCTCAACTTCTTTGTTCGTCAGGGTGCTATCCACCTTCACCCCAATTTGTACCTACATTCCTGCCAACACTGATCTTTTTACTGTTTTCTTTTCATTGGCAGTGGCAGTCTGAGACATGTACAACAAGGACACATCTCAGGATTGGTGCATTTCCTTGATTGCTGTTGGGTTTGAGTGCCTGTCTTCATACATTTCTAGTCTGCTCTTCTGAGGGTTACCTCTTCATATACTTGGCCCATTTTTCTTATTGACTTGCAGGAGATCCTTGGTCATTCTTGTTGGTTTAAGCTGTTACATATATTCTTATACCAACTTTGGCGTTTCATACTGAGTTTATCTGCTTTATCTAGGTTTTCAAATTTATCTAGGTTTTCAAATTTATCAATGTAATTTTTAATACCACTTTTATTACTTGTAAAATATCTGTTGTCTGTCACTTCCCAGTTTTTATTCTGTATTTTATTTGCATCACCTTTCTTGAGCTGAATTACCAAAGAAGTATCTAATTAATCTTTTCAAAGAATGAATGTTAGATTTTTTTTTCAGTGATAGGGATCAAACCTGGAGCCTTGTGCATGCTAGGTGAGCACTCTACCATTGACTTACACTTCCAGCCCAAAGTTTGTTTTTTTTTTTTTTTTAAATAATGTTTACTATTTCATTGCTGTTCTTTTTATTTACATTCTTTTTGGGAAGATTGCTTTGTTGTTTATTATGTAACTTCTTGAGAATTCATACACATACTTATTTTTCAGTACTTCTTATTTCCTGATAAATGTTTTTAAAAGTGTAAATTCATTCCAGATGTGGTGACACATGACTATAATCCCAGCACTGAGAAAGGCTGAGATGGGAGGACACAAGTTCAAGTCCCACCAGGGCCATTTAGTGAGACTATGTCTCAAAATAAAAAAAAAGAGTTGAGGATGCAGTTCAGTGATAGAGTATCCCTGGATTTGATTCCCAGTACTACAAAAACAAAAAACAAAAAAACCCTAGTATCAGTTTACTTCTAAATACTGCCTTTATTATGTCCCACATTTTGATGTGTAGCTTGAAAAACCTTTTGGTTTTGAAGTGATTATTGACGGAAAGTTGCAAAAAGAATACAGAGTCCCCTGATCCCTTACCCATGAGGATATATAACTGTAATATATGAGCAGGACAATACTGCTAACTAGAGACCTTAGTTTTCAACAGACTTTATATGATTGTATGTGTGTGTGAGAGAGAGAGAGGAAGAGAATGTGTTATTCATTTTTAAATATTTTAATTTCTTTATTCAATCAAAGGCTAATTAACTTTCACACACAGGTATTTTAAGCATTCATTTGCCACTGTGATCTCATTACATCTGGCTGGAGAACAGCTGTATAATTCTGGCCCTCTGACTCAACATCATGGCCAGAGAGAGCACTTAGATGGGAGAGTGGGAGCCACATGTTAGAAGCTGATGTGCTGGGTGCAGTTTAGTTTAGAGGGAGATGAGAAATTTGTGTCCTGAAATTCTCAGGAAAGTCTGTGCCACAGCAACTGACACAATTTTCTGCTTTAGAAACAGTGACCTAGAGGCAGGTGGACAGAGATCTCAGGGATTCACAAGAACCCAGATCAAAATTAGTTGCAGACAGACCTCTAGCATCCAGGACCCAGGCATAGAACCATGGGACCCCAGCATTTGCGACCTGTGCAGCTGCTCTGCCTCCTATGGGCCATCACCTTTTTGCCTTGTATGTCCTGTGGGGCTGGATGTTATAAGACTCCAAAAGGGGGAGGCTGGATCTGTGCCACTGGGAGGAGGAGGGCTGGGTGTGTGGGCTCTTCAGGGGACACGGAGGCTGAGCTGGTTGGCAGTTCAGAGCTATGAAGGCGATGTGTGTGTGTGTGTGTGTGTGTGTGTGTGTGTGTGTGTGTGTGTGAGTAAATGAGTCCCAAAACATTCTCTTTTTTAGGGGCTGGAGCTCTTTTGTGCTATGAAGCAACAGCCTCACTCTTCAGAGGAGTTAACTTCCAGAACTGGCGCTGGCTTCTGATGAGGAGCATGGTGTGTAAGCTGATGGAGGGCTGTGAGGAGACCTTAGTGTTCATTGAGGCAGGTAAAGTAGGGAGAGAGTTTGATAAACTTTCTTTGGCTCACTCGGTTGACCCCAGCTCCGTTGCTGGTACTCGGGGATTAGGGTTCCATATGTTTACTTCACCCTGTGTTTGGAAACATGTTATGACAGTGCCAGAGCAGGGTGAGTCCCAGTTGTTCATGCTGTGGGCTGGGTAACAGGGCAGAATGGAAGCGGGCAGGTCACTGGAGGAAGGAGAAAGGATGAAGCACAAGGGAGAAGGGCGTATAGGGGCTCCTGCAGAGCAAAGGATGAGGAGACACAGATGGAGATCCCAGCAGCTGCAGTGAATAGACATGAAGGATAAGTAAAGCTGCCTGGAGCAGGGTGGGTATGGGAAGCACAGGGTGGGAGGGATGGACTCTGGGTGAGGCAAATGACACTGACTACAGATCCTGTGCTCCTCAGGGACCAACAGGGGAGTTGTGGGTTTCAAAGGCTGCACCTCAAGCTTGTCTTATCCTCCACGAATCTCCTACCTTGCTTCTCCACCCGGGGTATCCGTTGCTTCCTATAGCCGCGTCTGTCGGACCTATCTCTGCAACAACATCACCACCCTGCAGCTGTTTGTGAGGCTCAAGGCCGAAGCTCCTAAGTCTGTAGCGTTGTCTTCCCATACTTGCCCATCCTGTGTGGGTGAGCACAGCAAGGAATGTCTTCCACATTTTGTCAGCACTGAGACTTGCCCTAAGGAAGCCCTTGAATGTTACAGTTCCACCTTAAAATTTCAGGCAGGTGAGGAGAGAAGTTTATCTGATGCCTACTCTATGCTCAGTGCTACATAGTTCCTTCATATACCTGAGAGAAGCTGATGGGATTTGAAGATGGGAATGGAGGTGCAAGGGACCAGCCACATGAATGCCAAGGAAGAAGGGATAAGGCTGCTGGTTTCCAAGGGCAGGTGTTCTGGTTTATGAGAGGCCTCTAGGAAGAGGGAAGTACTCTTTTTTTTTGTTTGTTTGTTTTTCCAGTATCAGAAATCGAACTCACAACCTTGCGCTTGCCAGGCAGGTGCTTTGCCGCTGAGCTAAATCCCCAGCCCAGAGGGAAGTACTCTTGAGTCTTGAAAGTGTTTCTGATTCTTCTCTTTATTCCTTATAGGGTCTCTTAATACCACTTTCCTGCTGATGGGCTGTGCTTATGAATACGAAAAGCTTTTAGCAAAATATCATTATATTGGAAGCATACAAGTGACTGAGGTCCTAAACATCTTAGAGAAGTCCCAGGTTTTTGGTGCAGGGCCCTCCAGTCGGGGTTCTTCCTGGGGCATCCTCTTAGGCCTCCTGCTTGTCTTCAGGCACTGATATCCAGCTGGATTCGATGAACACCCATATCCCTTCACATAACCAAATAAAGTTGTAGAGTTGCATTTATATTTTGTCCTGTGGTCTTTGAGTGTGTGGAGGCATGGAAGGTATGAGGCAGGCCAAGTATGTCCAGGCTGTGTGACTCGGACAGGAAGGTCTGACAAAATGATGGTGTCGTGTCCAACAGCCAAGAACTATCTTTCAGCAATAAAGGGAACATAAGGATATTCTCTGAGGAAGTGAGATTAAGACAATCTGTTGCTGTCCTTAAAGAATGGCTAAAGGCTGAGTCTGAGGCCAGCCTGGGCTCCACAGTGAGTTCAAGGCCAGCCTGGACTATACAGTGAGACCTTGTCTCAAAAAAAAAAAAAATGGGTCAGGTAAGGAGGCACATGACTGTTAACCCAGCAATCTTAGAGGCTGAGGCAGGAGAATTGAAAATTTGAGCCCAGCCTGGACAGCTTGGTGAGTTAGTGAGGCCCTGTTTCAAAATTAAAAAAAAAAAAAAAAGAGCTGGTGATGTGGCTCCATGAGAAAGCCCTGGATTCAAGCCAAAGGAGGGACATGGCTCAAGGCAGAGGCACCTCTCTGAATACTCTGTCACTTATCCATGAGTTTCTCTAGTCATAGTATGTCACTGAAGAAAGAATGTAATACCACCTAATATGGTACTCAATACACAGGAAAAATTTTAAGGAAGTTATATTTTGAGCATTTTCTTATCTTTATTAATTTATAAAGCTTTATTGGGATTAACTCACATACCATAAAAGCCACCTATTTTATGTGTCTAAGTCAGTGGTTTTTAATACATCTACAAAATTGTACAACTGTTATTGAAATCAATTTTGAAACATTTTTTCAACCCCCAAAGGACCTCTATTTTCATAGTTACCCTTATTTCCTCCAAATCTCTGCAGCTATAGGCAACCACTAGTCTATTTTCTATCTCTACGTATTTGCCAATTTTGGAGATATTGAATCACATGTAATTGAATTATACTGTATGTGATCTTTTGTGACTGGTTTCTTTCACTGTAATGTTTTCAAGGTTAATGCACATTGCAGCATGTATCAATATTTCTTTTGCTTCCCCCTTTTTTTTTTTTGGTACCAGGAACTGAACTCAGTGTGCGGAGGAGTGTTTCGTTGTAATGATATAGCACATCTTCAGCTTCCTGGGGGCTCAGGGAACAGGATGCTTGCTCAGGTGTTGAGTGATGGGTGTGGTTTCAAGGAAAGGCACCAGGGGTCAGAAGTGAATGAGAACATTTCCACAGTGTCTAGGCAGAGACAGTGACTATGTCTCAGGGGAATGTACTTTTTGAATTTTGGTTTTTGTTTTACAGTGGTGGGGATTGAACCCAGGCCTTGGACAATGTTAGGCAGATTCTGTACCACTGAGCTAAATCCCAGCCCTTGTGTCTTGGGGTGGAGACACTATGAGGCTGGAGCAGGCTGTCAGCTTCCTTGAGGCCATATGGCAGGGCCTGTGATAGATGTGCCAACAACTGCAACTCAGGTACTCGTGCAAGGATCAGCATATGCAAATTAGAGAAGACTCGATCATCCCTGGAATAGCTGTCTACCTATGCCTTTCTTTGGCAAAATAGAAAAGAGCTGTTTGTTCAGTAGTCCTTTCTCATCTGTGTCCTCCCTGCTGCAGCGCCTGGGAACCAGGAACCCTAGGATACTGTCTGAGGTGCTGGTGACCACGAACTAGTGAAAGGGGCTGAGCTGTGAGCTCCCACTTCTTTTATTCCTACCCAGAGTGTTATGACGGGAGAAGGCAGGCAGGTGTGCTGGAGAGCGATCCATCCCTCCTTCTGGCCTCCCAGTCAGGAGCTGGCAGTGCTGTGGACAAATGACACCACAGTGAGGATGACCCAAATCCAGGTGTCTGTGTGAAGTTTTTATTTTTTTATTTTTTATTTTCTTTCCAGTACCGGGAATCGAACTCATGACCTTGCTCTTGCCAGGCAGGCGCTGTGCCGCTGAGCTAAATCCCCAGCCCCTGTGTGAAGTTTTTAGTGAAAGAAGATGACAGAGCTATCTTGAGACATGTGGTGGACCAAACAAGTTTCCTTTAAAGATATCCCTGCATTCATTTTTGAATCTGTGAATGTGTTCTGGGGTAAAAGACACTTTACAGATTACATTAGGATCATGAATTTGAAAGATTCTTGTGGCTTTTCCAGGTGGGTCTAAGGTAATCACAAGGTCCTTTCCTTACGAGAGAGAGGGAAGAGGGAGAAGAGCAAGAGGTGGGAGGATGGACAGAGAAGGGCTTCCAGACGCCACACTGCCAGCTTCAAAGGTGGGGGAAGAGGGCTGGGGATGTAGCTCAGTGGCACAAATGCCTGCCTGGCAAGCACAAGGTCCTGAGTTTGATTCCAAGTACAAAAAAAATGTGGGGGAAAGGGGCCACTGCCTAAAAAAGCAGGGGGGTGCCTGAGGCTGGCAAAGGTGAGGAAACAGACTGTCCCCTGGAGCATCAAGAGACAATACAGCCATACGTCTTGTTTGATGCCACTGTATTTGCGACAATTTGTCAAAGTGTCGCTAGGAACCTAATGCAAGAGCAGTTACCTTGTTGTTTCATCTGACACTGTGCGTGTGAGATAAGGATTTACTAGGGCTAAGTCACGTCGTGAAACTCCGTGAGTAGATTTTCTGCGTCTCATCTCAGGCCAGGCAACACTTGGGATGGCAGAACATACTCTCAGCTTTAATTAGTACATGGACTAGGTTATTTATGGGAATGTGTGGTGCTTGACCCAAGTGAACATATGTGAGGATGTCACCATGCCCAAGGCTCAGAGCAGCGGGCCAGGTGCTGCCGGTGAACAGCCTGCAGGGAAGGTCTGGGAGGAGACACTGCCGCAGCACTTGGAGCCTGGAGAGTGTCACTGGGAGAGCCCCGCACCTCTGCCTTGATGTTGAGTGCGGAGAGGCTGGTTGCAGGAAGACCCAGCCAGGGGAAAAGTGGAAAATGATGGGGTGGGGTGGGATTAGAGGCCATGGGCAGTGCCTTGAATCTGGGTGTGTTCCACTTTAGTTGTCCCCACAGGGGTGAAGGTGTCCCTGTGTCCCTGTGTCCCCACAGGGGTGAAGGTGTCCTGAGCACTGGCCTTTACGGCAGAGGGGAAACTCAGTGTCCAGAGATACTCACCTGGGTACTTGGAGTGTGAGGATCGCTGAGCATTGTGCTAGCTGTAGGGCTCTGTGAAGCTCACCTCCTCTGTACACGGACCCTGATTTTCACCCTGAATCTCAACTCCCAGCTCTTGTCTCCTAGGAAGAGAGAATATATTGGAACAACTTACAGATTACATTTCCCTTGTCTGATGCAGGAGAGGAGTGACCTGGAATATCAGGTAAATTTCTGCTAAGAGAAGTTGTCATGGGAACAAAATGCACTAACAGCGAGGATCCTCTTCCAGGGACCCTTCAGTTTCTCTGGAAGCCCCTTCTTTCTGGAGGAGAGCTGTCCTTGGTCTGGCCCTTCCAGACCTCAGCACAGCCTGTCTAGGTCTCAGGAGGACCCCCTACCCTCTGAGTTTTCTAGTCAGCTTGGGGTTTAGACTCTAACTCTGAAGCACAGCCAGAGTCTTGGGAGAATCATCCCTCCAACCCCTCACGAGAAGGAAACTAAGAGGCAACGTCTAGTGGAATTAATCCAGCAGTAAATGTTCACATCAGGTCTAGTAATCCTTTAATACTTTCTTTTTTTTTGTTTTTTTTGTTTTTTTGTTTTTCTCCGGGAACCGAACTCACGACCTTGCGCTTGCCAGGCAGGCGCTTTTGCTGCTGAGCTAAATCCCCAGCCCCCTGGTCTAGTAATTCTTGAAAAGAGAATGAAGGAGCTCCTGAGTGTCTCCTAGGCCTTGGCTCAGCCAGAGCTGCTCAGACAAGGCAGAGCCAGTACGGGGTGGAGACAGGTCACCTTTAGTCCTGTGGGACCAAAGCATCCATACCCCGCATTCGCCTTGTAGGTGGAAACAGCTGGGAGGTTGGGCTGGGGGGCGCTTTGTGGGTGAGAGAAAGATGTCAGCGACAGGGAGGGACGATCATGGAGGCCAAGGCCCAGTGAGCAGGTGCTGGGCCGGGCCTGGGAGGTTCTGGTCTCTGAGAGGCCAGCACTTGCATCCCCGTGTCAACGCTTTCCATTTTCCCTCAGGAGTGAGCAGCTTGGCTTCCTGAACACCAGCGAGGGAGTGTTCTCTGTCCCAGTGTGCCCATCCTGTGTCATTATCCTGGTACCCCTAACTGATATTCCCAGTGCTCGCTGTGTACCTGCTGGACTCCATGGCCTCCTCACACAGACAGAGCGACCTGGGGGTGGACTCAGGAGAGGGGGAGGCTGCTTGCCCCTGAAGAGGGCCCAGCTCATGTCCAGGGATGTGCTAACTTTGCCCTGACCATGTGGATGAGGGTGCTCTGTGCTGTGCTGAGGTGACAGAACCGCTGTCCTGAGCCTGCCTGGCTTCAGCCCCTGCGTGAAGCGGGTAGGGTGGGCTTACCAGGAAGGCAGGGCTGTCAGAGGGTCTTAGCCTGGAGATAGCAACAGGAGTTATCAGGAGGATATGAGGAGGCCTGGGTCCCTCCAGCAGGAGGGTTTGGGGGTCCTCAGCTTGCAGGGCATCAGGGTAGATGGAGCATTTTCTGGACAGAGACCCTTGAGACATTTTGAAGCAAGTGAGCAAATGAAGCTCAGGAAGCGACCATGGCCTGGATCCCACAGGTCTAGGCTGACCTAGCAGTTGGGGTCCCCTCTTCAGAGTGTTCGAGAGGCCTGCTGGGAAAGGGTGTGGAGAAGGGCCTGACCCCGGGGATGACTGTAGGAGTGGACACTGGAGGGCAGGCCAGAGCTTCCAGCCACAGGCTGAAGGGGCATTCACCAGCGGCGGACACCTGGGACTGTGCTCTTGGAGGTCGTGCTGTGTGCTGGACCTAAGAAAGGTCAGACTTATTCATGAGAGTGCAGGGGCAGGTCTCAGCACTGTGGCCAGCGAGGGAATGTGGAGGGGTCTCTTTTCTACTGTGAGGGTGGAAACTTCCTTTCT